TTCGTTTTTTTGGCTGAGGCTGCCGACCAACAGCTCGGTGGTTGGTGAGCCCTGTGGTGGTGACACCGTCCTGTGGTGCTGGCTGAGCTCGCCGGCCACGGGTCACCCTTGGGAAGGGAAGCGTCAGCCCTCGCCAGCCCGACAGGGTTTGGGTGGTGGGTCTGGGAGTTGGTCTTCAGCAAGGTGCAAGGCACATTCCCTCTGTCCTGGCCTTTTAGAGTAAAATTTTTTTAAAAGTGATGAACATATGACATGTCAAAGAAGGGAGAAAAACATAAATAATTTTCATAGATATTAATCAGGAATATTTGCAGAAAGAAGGGCTTTCTTGCCCACTGCTTGAAGAGACTCCCTCTTTCCTTTACCAGCCTTGCCCAGCACATCGCTGCCAAAAAGGGAGCAGCAATTTGGGGGCCTCCTGATAATATTGTATTTCTCTATTAGGTTGGTCGCTGGACATGCCTGAGGTAGAGGAGGTGATTTAACTTTGGTTAACTTTCAGGGTCCCCTTGGCATGTTCCCCCTGCGGGGTAGCAAGCAGATAAGCAATATTTTTCCAGGCATTTTTTAGCAAGCCACATGCAAAAAGGGGAAAGCCTACTGGTAGTAGTGGTATTGTTTTAATATTAGAAATATTTGCTGAGAAAAGTGGACAAGCCAGTTGCAGAAAATGAGCCTCAAAAGCACTCTCTGTTGTGTTTCGAGTCCCGGCAGTTGTTACGGGCTGGGTGAGAAGTGGGATCCGGGGAAGGGGACGAGGCTGAGGTCTCCTCCATGGCCGCCCACCCGGCAGGATCAGGACCCGGTGCCCCAGAGTCAGACCGAACAGAAATGAGGCTGTTTTCCCTCACGCTGATTTTGGTTTTATTTTGCTTTGCGCTTCCCCGCTGTAGAGCAGGCGGTGAGTAACGTGGGCTCAGCGCCGGGGCTCGCGGCGTTATTCCTCAGAGCAATGGGATTATACCCCTGGACGCGGCGTTTTCCTTCGCTGTCAAGGGGTCGATTCATGCAGGAACAGAACAAGAGGAATTCAGAGGGTGAGGGCAGGACCGGGACGGTGCAGGCAGCACCTAATTCTTGTGGGGCAGGAGTCAGAAAAGTGAAAATACGAGTTGCTTTCTCGGGCATTGCTGGCAATGCTGCAGCCCTCCGGCCCTCGCGCCAGAGCCGGGCATCTCGCAGCTGAATTTTCCTGCTCGGTTTCTGTAGGGGGAAGAGTTGAACCACGCCGGGATGCTGAGGCAGGAGCCGTGCAGGGAGGAGGCAGGTCAGGAGTGCGGCACTGCCCGGCCCTGCTGTAAGGCTCTAATATACTACATTTCTGCTAAAATATCTCTTCCACACCAGCACATTTCAAGGGAGTTTCCTGTTTTAAATAAGCCAGCTATAGTATCAGACTTCCTGGAAAAGAGGGCACACAAAAAGGAGATTAAAAAAAATAAAACCTAAGCTATTCCATTATGGTTTGGACTTGTACAGCTAACTGTGTTTTAATTACTTGGGATAAACTGTACCCTCAAAAGGTGCAGAATAATAAAACCATAAGATGGAAGAGAGAAAGCCAGCTAATCCTGCTCCTGGCATGTCGATCCCGACAGCCTTACAAAGGCCTGGGGGAGGGGAGAGCCCTTCAAGATAGCGATTGCCAAGGTTTCCAAGAGCCCCGTTTGTGAAAACAAAACCAACGCCAAAGAAGAGCATGGCAGATGAAGCCCTGAATTGCAGAAAGGGCTGGGTTGGGCTTTTTTGCTCCTTTTTCTCTGCTTTTTCACTCCCCAGCTGAAGCACTGACTGAGCTAATGCTATCTGGTGCATGGTGGGACCCTGGTGGCTGATGCTCTTCGCTCAACTTGAGCATCACCAGGTGCTCAGCAATTCCCCCCCAAGCCCAGGAGGTCACGAAGCCTCTTCTGAGGTGTTTTTTTAATATGGTTTTTTTTCCCCCTCCTTTTTCTTAATCACAACCACGCCAAATCTCCAAAGCTGGGATGGGAGAGCTGAGGAGCACATTGTAACCTTGGCCAAGGGTTTGGTGGTGGTAGGGGGAGCGAGGAGAGGGAGGTCCTGGTGTGACGGACCAGGACAAGGCTTGGACCTGTGAAAGGGACACAGAGGAGTGAAAGGAGAAGCCCAGTCTTAAACACAGGCTGACGGAAGGGTTAGGTTTAGGTGTCCACAGGCAGGATGGCAGCTTGCAGAGGGATGTAGGAAAAGGTGCCTCAGCTCCCATCAGCCTCTGGCCACATCTGGTGGCTGCGGCGTCACCAGCGCCGTCCCCACGGCGGGTTGGGAGCATCGCGGTAGAATGGCTCCTCGCTCCGTAACGAGGTCGTGGAGAGCACATGGGGGGCCTTGAGGACACGAGTGAGGCTTAACGAGGTTTCTAGCATCTGAGCCGAGGAATGCGCAACTCCAGAAAATATTAAACAAAAGCGAAGTATTTTTATCCCTGTTAATTACAGCGTCTTTTTTTTAGTGGGTTTCAGCAGTACTTGCAGATGCTCGGCGTTTTTCTTTCTGCTCTGAACCGCGTTCTTGTCAGTCAGCTCGCTGCTTAGCAGATGCAGTTAATTTAATTTTGACAGGCGCAAGCGGAGTTGTGCGAGGGTCCGTCCTCCTCCCCGGCTCCTGCTGCGCCGGTTTGCAGGGGAGACGAGGAATCTTTATGCAGCAAATGGCCGGAACGTAAAGGCTGGACTTGAAAGTTATGAAATCCCGAACTGACAAGAGCACACTTCATTAAAAATTCATCTAAAATAACCATTATAGAATAGTTGTGGTAATTAGCTGAGAGAATAGTTTTCTCT